AGAGTCATAAGGTTAACTTCAGTGGAATTACTTTAATATATATGAACTTAAGAATTAACTACCACCTCTTTTTCTATGAGATTCAATGGTTTTGCATCACTCATGTTACTATGTATTTGTTTGCTACAATATTGCAGTTATAATAGCATAAAAAATATTATAATGATTTTTTAATAATATGAAGAATAATTACTTTCAGTTAAAACCTGCGTACTGTTTCTGTGCATTTTGTAATGAGGTATAATCAGCATCAGGAAAGGTTGTTAGGAAAACTGCTGGTCAGTCCTCTTAATGCTGAAGAGAAAAAAGTCTTACACTGGAAAGGTTAGTTTTAGTACTAAATCTGTAAAATAATCCCTTTGATACAATAAGCTACACTGGCAAAGCACTTGCTAGTGTTTTTGTCTGCTAGGGATTTTGTTGGTTTAAAAAATAGATTACACTCCACCCAAATATACCAGCAGACTGGAAGTTCATCGTGAATAGAATAGCCATGACTTGAATCTTTGCATCCCAGTTTTTTAAGGCAAACCAGGTCAGAAAACTATCAGTACTGTATTTGGTCCTCAGTGCTGGGACTGGACTAACTGACTACTCAATGTCCCTTCTGGCCTGTCATTTTACGTATTCTTATCTTCCACTGCTACTCCCCCCCCCCCCCCCCCCCTTGAGAACAAATAAAGTAATTAGAAGTTTTCTTCAGGCAGAGGGAGGAGCAGGGGCCAAGTATGTAATAAGTTTTGTCTCAACTGTTTTCCTTTCCTAATGCATGCCCTAAAGCTGTATGCTGAGCTGGCTTCAGTGTAATTGTTCCCTATCACTGCAAAGCCTTCAGGTTCTGTTTCAGGCGGGAAGCACCAGCACTCAGATCATGCCCCTTCCCTGGCTACGCCTCCTTCCATAGCCAGTTATTTCTTAATCGATGAAGCTTAGAGTCTGATTCTGAAGATCCTAAATTTAAACCTTCCTAACAGCCTGCATGGGTGAAAAGGGTGTGATCATGTAGGTTGTTTACTATAGTAATGCAGATACACAATTAACTTGCACAAAGGAATTTTACTCCAGCATTCCCTAGTTTTTCACACGGACAAAGTTTACCTTTCTTTGATACAGGCTCTTAAGATACTATCACACGGAAGGCAATTAGAGGTTCCTCTTTTCACTTGCATATTTACTTTTGCCAGCCTATGACCATTTTGCCTTAAAATACTGTTGGCCTGCCAGTTTGCTGTAGGCTTCAGGAAGTTTTGTGTTTATACATGTGCTGGAATGTTTTAGTGAAAATCTTCAATTATTTAAAAGAATAAACAGCAGCAGGGAATGGAATATTGGCAGAAATGGGCAAGAGAAAGCCAGGACTGGCAGGAGCAGAAATTAAGCACTTGGACGCAGAAAACTGAGACTGGGATTGCCAATGTGAGCAAAATCAGCTTGATTCTTATCAGACTGATAAGAGAGATTTAAAGGGATGGAGGTCATAGCCTCAGAAATAGCAGAGTCTGGCCACCAGAAAACATTTGGTCCTAAATTAGAACTTCAAATGTAATTGGTTTCTGTGGTCAGCATACCTGTGAAAATGTCTGATCATTCTCTAATGGTGGTGTTCGAAAAGGATCACCTATTCGTGCTATTACTTAATGCCTTCATTCCAGGAACCACTGCGTCTCTATCAGTGCCAAAAATAAAGGTCTTTTGTTTAACCTGTGGATGTCTAAGTAATGCCATGCAATGAATTTCCAGTTTGTGGTTTATAATTTAGAATACTTTTAATGATGTTAAAATATTTAATAGTACTAATACTTGCAGCCATTTTTATGTTTTTAAGCTGCAAAAGGGAAATGTAAGGAATGGTGATTTGAAATGCCTATTTAGACTTTATTCAGAGGAAATGTGTGTGTGCACTGTGAATCAGATCTTAATGGCAGGGTAACACTCAGTTGTTTTCAGAGGACTCTAGTGTTGTTTACTGTTCCAAATACATCTGATCTGAGGATGAATGTGGCACACACAGTAAAATGTGCTTCCTGGAGAACCAGTGATTTGCTGTCATGTTTGAAAATTAGGATTGTAGAGATGGCAAGGATTGCAGGAAGGATGGCCTCATAATTAAGACAATTGAAGGATATTGTAGAAAGTATGATGTGTCTCTGCTTATACCACTGAGCTTCTGTGTGATCACATTGCTTCAACCCAGCACTTTTATTTCTGTACTCTTATTTTCTGTCTCTTGCTTTCTGAGTGCCTAACTGGAGGTTCTTGAAGAATTACTAGGTACTCACAGCTGCAAATAAAGTTAGCATTTGATCATGTGAAACGCTGTACAATGCCAAACATTCTGGAAAAGCAAGTCCTAAATGCCTCAGTTTGTGTTTCTGAAATTATTAGACAACTTTGCCATGGGATTTATGTGCCTCAATTTCCTGTCCCTAAAATGGAGGTAACTTTACTGCCTTATCTCCCAAGAATATTAGGAAAATAACGGTATTTGCAAAGCATTCTAGTGCTGCATACTGACATGTGCCATTCTCTCTTCAGAACCATTCTCTCTTTAGAACAAGGCTTGAATAGCATACGATAAATATATCAGAAAAGTTCAGAGTAAACAGTGGCAAGAAAATGGAATAGTGAATAGCTAGTCACTAAGTGAGCAGTGTGCATCCTCCTCACTAAGATGGGGCAAGAAGAGTATATGTGTGTATAATGAAACACTGCATTATAACAAACACATTTATAAAAGCCTAGTTCAGTCCCACCATCCAGTCTGAGGATCTTTAATTTTTCCTTTTCCTATTTGAGCCTTTGCAAATTTATAAACATCAAGGACTTTTTTTTTTCATTTGGACCACATTTGAAGTCCAGGCCAGCATGGCAGGATTTACAGTTGTTCCCTGTCTGTGGTATTAGTCAGTCCCTGCGTAAGAAGATTTTGCCGAGTTTCAGTTCTGTTTGCTCTTCATGACCTTGCTCTGAATTCATTTGGCAGACTTGGCAAGAGGGTCACTAATTGCAGGAGGAAGACAGTGGAACTACATTTTCCCGAGAGCAAGCGAACTCTCCTGCTCCCAGTGGGAGCAGAGAGATGCTAACAGTGTGTGGGAGAAGGTTGGATTAGTTGTCTTGTCTCTGCACCTCCCACATACCAGATACCCTGTACCCTGCTAGCAGAGTACTGTACACTTTTTTGGAAAGAAAATGTGACTGAAAGATGTGCCAAGTGCTCCCCTGCACTTCCCGGCTTTCCCTCATCCTTTGTTTTCTGGTGGTCACAGCCCCCCTCATACAATCCAAGTTGTATGCTGGTTCTTTCCTCCCAAATGTTTTTCTCAGCAGACAAACAAGATGATAGGCACATGCCCTGGTTTGTGTTGTGTTGATGTAGAAATGCAGCATCATGGAGCACAGTTCACATCCACAGCCATGCTTAGTCTTTTTAGGAATAAGGAAAGAATTGTAAGTGAAGGATACCATGCGCATCACTGATTTTAATACAGTGACATGTAAGAGCTAAAGTTACTAAATTATATATACAGGGGATGGGTTTTTGTTACATACTGTGCTTCACAGGCAAAGTGCTACAAGTAAACACACACATTTGTCCTATTTCAGTGCAGAGGACTGTAATCTCACCCTGGGCACAGGCTTTCCTACTCCACATGTGTTACTGTATGCATTCCCTTCCCATACTGAAGATAAATAACATTCTTCTCCCTCCACTGCCCACAGCCAGGAGTAGCTGGTGGTCGGAAGCACTTTGGAGCACCTCTCAAGTTACAGCTCATTGTAATCCCAGAGCTAGCAATGAATTGAACATCTGTAAATACAGATTTTTCTTATATAAATATTTAATATAAATAAATATTTTTAATTACATTCTTATCCCACAAATGTTGCAAAGGTGTTGAATAAAGGCAGCTATATTTATGCATTGTGATAAAAGCAAAACCATAGTAAACGCAGAGAATACAGATAGCCCACACAGCCTCCTAATACAGTTATGGCTCCTAAACAGCCATTGCTGTTATCCTGTTCCCTTCAGAAGTATGTGCATTCTAAAGGAAGAGCCACACAATTTAGCCTTTGCCTACTAAATCTTTCAAGAAATATGCTTCTTCCATGATACCAGATTCATAAATTATTGCACTGGGTGGGAGATGCTCAGCTGTTTCATCTCACCAGCTTTCAGTACTGCACTGTGTCCAAAAGCAAGCCAAATAAAGCCTCAGGTTTACATTCATTTTCACCTTACTTTACCACAGCTAAATGGTAATGTCATGTCTTTTGTGTATCTATCTCCAGTGTAAAAGAACCTCAGAGGGAGAGTTGAAATATTTTTTGTCATAGCTGAAAAATAAGGTTCATTATGCAAGGACTGTGTGCTTGTGGACAACCATGTAGCCTGTGTCTCAGTTTCCTCATCTGTAAACTGGATATAATGTTCTTACAACTAACAAGGGATGGCAAGGTTTGATCAGCATGTATGGTTGCCTTATACAGATACAACTACTATCACTGCTTGGTTTTATCAGCAACTATAAGTAGAACATGAAGAAGAAACATTTAGCAGGATAATGCTGCAACCAGGGTGAGCCCTCTCCATTTTCTGACCATGCCACAAAGTATACATGTTTGAAACAAAACTATACTTATATTGTAATGCCATAGAAATCAAAGGATTTGATGTAGGGGGTGACATATAGGCAAAACACTTGTTTTTAAAGGAAAAATGCCCAGAGATATAATTAAATACCTCGAGGACATTTGGATATTGTTTAGATTTTCATGATAAAAAATATATTCCAATTTACAGAATCTAGTGTATAGAAAACATACAAAACTGTTCCTAGCTCAGCCTAAAAGAGCGTCTAGGGAGTGTTTTATGTGTGTTGATCAGTCAGGAAAAAGACTGCATTCTGAAATATGCTATGGAAAATAAATTCTGCAATTATTCTTTTTTTTCCTGTCTTTATATTCTCTCTCTCCCTGTCTCCCTCCTGCCACAGCGACTGCATTTGCCTCCAGACTTGTCAGACACAGTGAGCCGCACAAGCAAACAGGAGCTGGCAGGATCCGCCAAACTGCTGAGCTCAGGATGTGGTGCTATGGCCATCGGCAAGAAGCACCTGGACTTCTAGTGATTTCTGCTTAGCAGTTTCACTCAGATTTGTATGACACTCTAATTATGAGTGTTAATGACTTATATAAATATTTTTCTTAATGATTTGACCCAGCAGTCTTTAAAAATACATGTGATCATATGGTGCCACCTTTTTTTTTTTCTTTTTGTTCTGGGTTTTGTGTTTTTTTTAACTAATTTTGGGCTTGTTTGGATTTTACTTCTGTTATGTTGGGTCCTGCCATTGTTCTGCTCGACTGTAAACATGCAGTATTTCGTTCCTTTCCTTAAAATAAAAAAATTACTCTTACCATTTCATTTTTAGATCGGGTCATTTTTACAGTTTAAAAAAAAGGCTGTTTTTTCCAATGGAATTTTTATATACTTTCATGCCATTTTTTGTACAAATAATAAGTTGGACGATTCATTGAAATAAAGGAATGAAATTAAGCAGTGCATTGCCATGTGTTATTCCAAAAGCAAACTACACAGTTAAGGTTTTAAAGCATTTTTTGTAGTTGAAATACCACTCTTTAATGGAAGGAAATATTTACATTAGTTTATTAAATATGTAAGATAAATTTAAAATATGTAAGATAGATAGGTTTTATTCTAATACATCAGTAATTAAGAATGGTGGGGGTTTTAATCAGCAGTATATTATAGATCATTATTTTGCCTTTGGGCTTACTACATTCATTAAAATGCACTTGAATGGAATTTACTAGCCATAGAGAAAAGAAATTATTTCCTTCTGTAGTTCAAAACAGTAATCCTAAACAATTGAAGTCAGCAGTATGAAATTATGTCAACAGACGTAATTCAAGATTGAAATTCAAACCGACAGCTACATTAATGCTAGAAAAACAGAAGAGTGCATTTGAGCTTGGGGAAGGGTATCACAGCATGCTGGTCTAAAGCAGGGCAGAATATACAACTAATTCAGCTTCTGTACCCTTAGATATACAATTTGTGAACTTCCAACTATTTTGTATGTATCTCTGCATGTATTTCATCAAATAAAAGAATGGTAAGGTGAAGCTGACCTGTAAATTAAAGTGGTTTGCATTCTTTCTTCTGAGGCTGACTTCCATTTTGAAAGGTAATACCTTCTTCTCTGCAGAAGTTCCAAGCCACCCAGCTGTAAGATTGCATTACAGTTTCAAAATTTCGTCTTTATAATAGTGTATTACATGGCTGGAGTGAAATTGACTCTTCAAAGAACATGTTAATAGGATGCAATAACGGTAACTTATTTTGATGGGTTTGGAACCAAGAGCTGGTTAAGTGGTTTGCTTTTTTTCTCCTGCAATCCAGGTTCTTCTTTATTTTTTTCTTGACAACGCTGTGTAAAACAAAGACATAGCTTTTAAAACTGTCTAACTAATATGATGAATGTCAATCACTTAAAAAACTCCACTGTAGCATAAACACATACTGTATACAGCTTTTATTCTGAATTAGAATAATTGAATCAATGACAGTGATTTACCAGGATGTCAAATCTATCCATCATATCCTGTCACTACCAGTTTATTTTTTGTGATCAAAATCAAAAAGACTACTATTTTGTCATCAGCTATTTCATTAGTAGTAACAATCAGGTTTTCTCTTCTACATTTTTTAGATATGCCTGTTACATTTTTTATTTCTAAAGACACAAATCCTTTTTAAATCTTTTCAAAATAAAGTTTCAGAACTGAACTGTCAGTTTAATAAAGCAAAAAGACATCTACTTTCCTGTGCCAGTGTATTTAAAATATTATCATTGATGTCTCAAACATTTTTTCTCTTTTTATGTTATGTGTAACATTGAATGGAAGTTTTCATTAGCTACTTAATTGTGCCTTTTGAAAGCATGAAATAATTTAAATACGTAGGATAAAGTGATTTTTAACAAAGGAGAAGTTTTGCATAGTACGTCTTTCTAGTGTAAATAACACAAAACAGAGTATGTCTTTGTGAAATATAGTCACAGGACATACAAATTGCTACAAATATACTTAAATAGGTCATTAACTTCACATACAGGGGAGATAATATCATGAAAGTCACAGTCAGATTCTAGTTAGCAAATTAACTGAAAATTCTTTTCAAGTAGCATATATAGTCCATCTATGTAAATGTGTATACGTGTGTCCTATACATTTATAAGTTCAATTTCAAAAATTGTGGTATCAAAGCTGACAAATATTTTGTATAATAAAAGGAATTTCTTCTGCAAATCTTGAATATTTTTTTCTAATTCACTAAACATGCTTCATAAAGTAAGTGTTAGAGTATACAGATGTGCATTGTTCTTTACCTAAGGCAAAAACATAAAGCAAAAATTCTCTTCTTTGCTTCCAAAATATCACATCAGTTACACCACATGACAGTGACTTGGTTAATACAGCAAACTGGTAAGTGAAATAATGGCATGTACATGCTGCCTGATAGTATGTAGCTATGTAGTAGATAAAGTGTAGATTTTATTCATTGCACCAAAAGCAATTTTGACTTGGGAAGCAGGAAAAGCATTTACATGGTGATTTTCTGTGGTTTTTCCCCATAACCACTCTGTGACTGTCAAGTTCCTGGTATAAAACATCCTTCAGTTCCTTCTTCTCTTGGTTTGAAGAGAAACACTTCACTAAGGGGTGCAGCTCAGGTAATTGAAGAATGGGTGCAGCCTCTCTTGACAGGCAGTTGCAATGTGCTGCCAGCTTCTTTCTGCATTTTCAGAGCCCCTTTGTTGGGTTGTGTGGAAAATCTGTGCCATTCTTAACACCTGCTCAGAGGGCTCTTTTCTGCAAAGATTGAGGTATGAGGCTTTTCTGTTTGTTGTAATTTTTTAAGCAGAACTTCCTGCTTTTAAGCAGGCTACAAACTGAAACCGCCAAACTCAGCAAGGAAACAATAGATTCATCCCGGTGAAGACATTCCCAATTCAGCACAAGAACCTGATCATCACAGAATTGTGACTCACAGTCAAGAAAGCAGTAATGAAATTTAAAACATTGTGTCTTTAATATGTCAAATAAGAACTCTTCATATAATTTCTGTTGTGTTGAGGTTTTCAAAATATAAGTATTGGGAACATGAATAATATTATGATGGATTAAGTCTTCTTCAATGTTTGTAAAGAATTTCAGAAGCAATTTCAAGATGCAGCTGAATTCAGTTTTCTGTAACGGCAGCTACAAGCATTTGAAAATGGGCATTCAGCCACTTCAGATTTGATATGCATGGTAGTGCGCGCTGTAAATCTAATGTAAAATATTGATGTTGCTCCAAAGACAGCTTTTGGAAAAGTACAAAAGTCTAACTTACAAAAATCCTTTACTGTGCCAGTAGTGGAAAGTGAGCTATTAATGAAGTTTTTCTGAACCCACAAGGTTGTAACACACTGTTTAAAAAAGTATATACATTACAAGAATTACACACAAACTCATTTAAACCTCTATTTCTCCAGGATCAGATATTAGAAATTTAATAAAGTGTTATTATTTTGCCTGTGCTGAAGAAATGTCATCCGTAACCACACAGCACAACAGAAATAGGAAAGAAGATGCTTTTATGCCTTTAAGAGGTGGTAGAAGCGTGTACTACCCTCCATGACTTCTCTTGAGCTTTTTATTTTCTCTTGTGAGGTACCTGAGTGCAAGGCCTACATTTCTTTTTTTAATCACACTCTGAGCACATGATGCTGCTTATTCAATAATAAATGTACCTGTGTAGAAAAAAGAATGAAAATGAACCCTCTTCATCTTAGGAAAAAAGGCAGCTCAAATAGAGGAAAAAAAAAAAAAGGCAAACAAATGCCACCACAATTTTTTTTGTTGTTTCAGTTTCTACTCTAATATAAGCAAATGTTAGGCTAGTTTGGTTTGCTTTGCAAAAGCAAAATCTATATTTCAGCAGTTAGATTTTTCAGATGTGTTGAGCATCAGCCATCCTGGAGCATCTGCTGAAAACTTGACTGATGATTTAAACTCCGCCTTTAAATGATTTTGAAAGTTACTAGGCACATCGAACTAATTTACAGACCTTCTGTTCATATCAAAAAGAAGACATCAAGCCATCTTTTGGTTTCTCTGGTGCTGTAGATCTTAATCAAAAAATGCTTCCAGAGAAGTCAGTGGTAGTCCAGGAACAAGGTGGTAGGATTAGGTCCAGTGAGTCTTTTTTAAAATGCTAGCAGACCTAGACAGTTTGTAGCTGCATATTCCTCTATTTAAAAATGTATTTTAGTGTCTTCTGGCACTGACTGTAAATCTTAATTCCAAAATGTAGCAGGAATCAAAAAGAAGGTCTTTACTCTCTGCTGGCAGAGTTTGGGTCTGAATGTTCGTGCCTTCAGAATGCTCTCAGCACTTACGGCATTGGGGTATTCTCTTCAAAGTCTTGAAACAAGTAAATTTTGGTGCACTTTCAGGTGCTTTTCTTAGAGTCAGGTTGGAGCAAATGCACTAAGGAAAGCTCTTGCTGAAATTTCATAGGGCTAGACTTAAAGCTAAACTAATGAATAAAGCTGAACTCAGTCAAGACCAGATAGAGAGTGATAGGCATAAGGAAGCATTTGGAAGAATTCTCCAACATGGTGAAATTTCCATTTATGGTACTTCCCAGCCTACAGATAGCTCAGGATAGCTCAATGGTTTTGGGAAATTACTTGAACCAGAAGGATTTTGATAGCACAGTCTTGGAGATACTGGAGTAACAAATCCATCTGTGTGGGAGAGAGCCTTCCTAGGAGTCATCTCAACATTGGGTGGTTCTTCCCAAGTAGCAAAGAGTCATAGATGTGTAGCTTCAAACCTACACCATCAATATGCCAGCTTCAGACAAGCAAATCATACTCTATCACACCAAAATACTGTGAAAGAGTTTGGAAACACAAGCAATATGGTAGGTAGGAACCATTTGCCTGATTGAGAGAACAGAACAGAGACAGTAAAAGAATACATGCAGGAAAGCAGAATGGGGTTCATTTTGCAGTCCTTGCCTATAGAAGGCTCTATGAAGTCTTAAATATGTCCTAGCCCAAACAGGTGTAAATCAACAGCAGTTCATGCAGATCAACTGAATCATAACTTTGAAAATCATCAGACCCAACTGAACCTTAGTTTAAATAAGAATAGATGGGTTTGGATGCATATTTTCCAAAGTAACAGTGTTAACTTAAATTCAGAGAAATCAAAGCGGACAACTTGCTTCTTTAAAAGAAAAAAAAAAAAAAATAATAAAATTTAAATGACTGGATTTTCATATAATCCAGTCTGACAGAAGGAGTTTTAAAAATAAATAGACCCTCCCCTACAGTATTTGGAACACAACGCTGCAGACTACAGGCTCTGAATATGAATCCAGTTTTGTAAGGAGAAATGTAAAGGGTAAAACAAACAATAGCAGGAAGAAATATAAATTTTCTTTGTTTGTGATAACATATTTATTGTAACAACCTGAAG